CTGAAACAAGTTGCTCATTAACTAAAACTTACGTAGTTATTATGCAAATACAGGTGTTAAAATTATTAGCAACTTATACATAGAAATATAAAACTAGAAGATTTTAAGTGCTCCTGTTAAACGGTAATAAATAAAGTATCTTCCATTTTTGGAACAACCATGTATGTATTTTAAAGAAACTAAAAATGTCTAAATAATTAAATGGTTTTGATTAAAAATTTCTGATCTTTATGTAATGTCCATTACCTTAATTTAGAGTTTAAAAAACGAAGCCATTTCTGTCCATGCATTTAATGGAACAATTATCAGCAATGATTGCACTGGTGCTAGTTAAAGCTAACTGGTGGGCTAGTGTTAGCTAAAGCTAATTTTAACCTTTTAGGAAAAAACCCTTAATTTGTCATGTCGCTCAAATGATGCGTGACGTTTACTTGTATGGGTGCATATTTACATTGTTGTATCTCTACGGTTGCTTCACGTCTTTCTGTAGCGCCCTGTAGTGTGTGGATGCCGGTAGCTACGGTTTATTTCCATGTGAAACAAGTTGCTAATTAGCTAACATTAAAGTGTTATACAAATACATAGTTTCTTGTATCACTCAAATGAAAACGTATCTGTAAAAGCTACATTTTTCTATTGCTTATGTTGCTGAACCTCTCTGCATCGCCCCCTAGTGTGTGGGCGCTGTTGTCTACAGCTTGTGAAGCCAGTCGCGCCTTAACTTAAACTAAGGTCGACTGCCAACAAAATTGTGAGCTAAGTGTGTACTCGAGTATTGACGGCCATTTAAAGGCCTTTAAAAAGCTATTTGACCATCTAATATCATGTACAAGAAAAACAAATACATTCAAACAAGTTTTTTACATTTATTTTCTCAAGAAATTGTGTATTTCATGTCCTATATTTTAATGCAGATTCAGAAACTAAGTTTTTCATTCCAATATGTTTAACTGTACAAGTGTCTTCTCTAATTAAATTTATGAAATGAAGAACAACTCAAGCCAAATTTGCTGCTACTGCTGCAGAGAAAGGTCACATTAAGACTCCAAGAACTCCTTCCACCTTGATTAAACATGGAAAGTGTTGGAGCTCCCTGCTGTTTACATTACAGCTGTCAGCAGTTAATTACATGGAATACAGTGGACAGTGGGTACAGTAGGTAACGTTGCCCAGAACTCACTGAGCGTGAAACAGACACAGCAAATCAAATCTGGGACACTATTTTATATGATGTAACTTCATACACTGCTGGTATTTCACGCTGTTGTGACCGTCAGATGGGACTGTTTGATTACCACCAGAATGGTACATTTAATGACACAGAAAAAATGAGGAAAGTTAATGAATTTAAAGCAACTTTTTTTTTCTCCCCCTCATTTCAGTCTTTAAAAAAAAGCAAGGGTGACATGTTTACCGTTTCACATCATGCATTATTCATAGGAATGTTTTATTTAAGGAGGAAACGAAACATTGGCTTTATAGGTAATTGTAGCCGCCTTGTCGCGTCCTCGGGGAACAGTCCACACTCAAGGAGGCTTACAGCGAGCGTAACCTTGTTTGGGGTCAATTAAGGAGGCCCGAGCAAAAACAGAACTAATGACATTTTACTGATTTCTGTGGTCTTTTTTTAAAAACAATTTTGCCAGAGCAGCACTGCCTCACGCTCCTATACAACTAAACTGCATTCTAGTGTATGTTTTGCGGTAGTTTTCTCGCCAAAACATAACTGTGGTGTAGCAGAAACAGTTCCGTGGTTGGCTGCAAAGTCTTTGTAAGAATGAAGGCATAAGTCAGCAACATCAGCTTTCACCCTGGAGACTGAGGTTCATATCCCATGTGGGACCATTATTGTTGGACTTAAAGGGCCCATATGGTGAAAATCCATTCTTATTAAAAACTTAGAGGCGTACAATAAAAGCTGTGAGAATATAAAGATGCTTACTACTGCCGTTCCTCAAACCCCCTCCTCTTCTATATAGCCTCCAAGCTTTCCAAGCCAGTCAGAATTAATCAGTTTCTACACATGAACTGGGTAGCCAACAGTTGTCAAGCTAAAAATATGTATAATGCTGCCTCATCGCTGCCTGCTGCTTGCCAGGTGAACCATTTAGAAAGAGCAGCTGCCTCTCACTGCACCAGACTTGTTTACTTTGCAGAGCTGCTCCTGCTAACTCTAAAATGTCTGTCAAGCAAAACTCACCAGATGTTCTGCTGCTGGCTGCAAGAGTGAACACAAGCGTCTTCATGCACTCCCAGCATCTGAGAAACTGATGATCCAGTGGGTTGCTTTTGATGGCACTGTCATGTTAGTGTTACCATTTGCTTTGATGGGATGCCAACAGGTCAGAGCTGTGGGGAAATGGGAAAGCTGAGAGATATTTAAAGCTGGTGGACACTTTTAAGACCAATTTGAAGCCAATAAATAAGGACTGTGTGGGTTACTGTGTTTTCATGCTGTGCTTCAGTGTGACATAAACTCAGCTGGTATTTATTTACTTCTCTCCTGCTCTCTGTGCACACATCATCTGCATTTCAATACCGCTGAATTCCCAATTAGGTTGTTCTTAATTACATATATTTCTGTTTTTGTTGTCAGACAACACAATAAAACCGTGACTGAAACACAGCCAATAAAGACCACATGTTTAGGTCACTTGTAGGGCCATTTCCAAGCTGATGCTAAGTGGTAAACACGAGTTAAAAACAGCAGCTGTTCTGTGAATTCAGTGATATTTCCATGTAGAACGATCACTCGGAGACACAGAAGCCATAAAAAGTCCTGGTTTCACACTTCAGTCAGTTGCAGCTGTTACGCTCTTGACACATAATCTTAGACAGAGACAGTCTTCTTCCTGAAGAAGGCGAGGACACTGAAAAGGCATGTCTAGAACACAGCTAAAACCAGACGCTACACAATCAGGGCAAAATGACCCATCTTTCCAGTATTTTGAAAGACATTCTGGGGACATGTGAGACTTTTATTGATTTGCTAAACAGGGACACAATATGAGACCTTTAAGTTTCATTGTTGACTTTCAGCTTTTGCTCATTTTTAAATCAGGTTTAGCCCTCAAAATGCACCAAATATCACACTTTCACAGTGATAACTACCTATTTACTTCTTTAGACACCAAAACAACATGGCTCAAGAAAATCCCAACATGTTTGAAGCTTCTCCTTCATTCTATTGGTTCCAAAGGGTGATAAGTCCCACCCCCATCCAATACCCGATTGGTTGGCTGAAAAAGCAGCAACAATAATGTAATAGAATAAATGATGAAGACGTGTTGATTAAATAAGTATCTGTGATATGTGACAAGCGGCAGAAAATTGGTTTCCCTCAAAATGCGATGGCGTTTAGCTGTGCAGGGAGCATCATTTTGTGGAGACGGTGTTGGCCCGACAGATGCTGCGTGTGTGCCAGCAGTGAATCAGTGGTTTCCAGATGTAACCAGTGCAACATGTAGCAACAATATTTCTCTTTTTGTGTCGCCAACCTCCCTGGTTTGGAGAGTCTCCAACACAGCCGCTGGCCCAGGCCGAAGGAAATCCAGTCGAGATCAAAGTGTGTGAATGAAATATTAATCCGAACACTGAATTGCACTTTGCTGTCATTTAACAAAACCATAAATACAGGTCCTCTTGTTTTCCATTTTGGTGGAGCAGATGTACTCTTGTGTTGCTGTTGTGGCAGGAAACATGCGAAACCAGACTGTCTGTCACTGGAGACTCAGCACATAGAGTCTACTGTAGTTTCATAATTATGTGCATTATTCAATGTTTGCTCCTCTTCTGCACGCTTGCAAAGTAGGCTAACGGCAACCGCAACGCCGGAAATACTTTGAATATAACATTGCAACCCTTTAAGAAGCCATTTCTGTGTATGTGTAAACATGAAAGAGGGTTGATATGGGTGGGGGGTGAGTGATTACAGACTACAAAGAGCTCCAAATTAGGAGGCGAGCAGAGCTGTTAATACATGCATCATCTGCTCAAGGGCACCAAGGGTCTTTGAGTTTGATTCAACTTCATGTACTATACATGAAGGAAATAGAGGAGCCGAGGATTCAATAGCAGGCCAGAGAGACGGATGATATGTTAATATTTGATTTGCTGATTAAACCTGACCTCTTGTGTCTTTCCTCTGTTTGCAGGTGTGTGCCATCGTAAGCCTCCTGCCGTCGGCCTCTTTAGCAGATCTGACATGTGAAGCTCTCCTTATGCTGTCAGGGAATGTCTCATGTAAGTTGAGGACAAACGCTGGATGGGTTTTTTATTTCAGCGGCGCATCTACAGCAGCAGTTACAAGCTCTTACAGGGTGGTTGTTCTCCGGTACAACCTGTGTATCCGACCTGCTCCACTGTTAGTAGACTTGCGAGATTGGATTGATTTTCAGTCTTTTTCCATTTCACGGCCGTAACAGCTAAATGTCAAACCCTCGTCCTCAGTCACAGCTTTCCCCTTGTGGGGCATCGGCAAACTGTCCTCCCGTATTGTCCCAGTTCCTTGTAGACCTCACCATTACAGTGATAGTTGGTGATTAAACACTTAAAACCGCAGCTCACGCCCAGAGAACACACACAGCCATGCATAAATACACAGGAATGATGCGCTTGTTATTTGCCCCAGGTTAGACTCATGAAGACGTCTCAGGTAGCTCGTTAAAAAAGGTAATAATAATGCTCTGTTGGCGTGGTGTCACCCTGAGCTATAGGCCTTTAAACTTTAGTTGGACCAAGTTTGAGAAAGTGTCAAGTAGTTCTACAGCTAATGGAGAGATAAATCAGTTCAGTGTTTAGAGAAGAGAGTTCATCAATTGTCTTATTTTGTCCAACCAAGAGTCCAAACCCTTTTAGGATGTAATAAAAAAAAGCAAATTCAAACATTGGAGTAGCAGGAAGCGCAGCATTTCTCATGGTTGTGTTTGATTGAACCAATAATAGACATGAAAATAACTAATCAGCCAGTTTAATATTTAAAAATATACATCCTGTCATAGATTCCACGTCCACAAGTAGTTTTTATGTGTGTATTGCGTAAAGCATATGCCACCCGGTCTCCACATAGCTTTGCGTATGTATAGGAGTCAACTGGAGCTCCATTCATTCCTATGGGAACCTCTGTGATATTCAATGTATTCGCGAAACTGCTTCTTTTGTTTATTCCAGTTCAGAATTTGCCACGCGTATATCTAAAAATTTTAAATACATTTCAGAGAGCTTGCGCTGCACATCAATAATCTGGAAAAGCTAATTAGCAGTTGCTTGACCTATTTGGCAGATTGCGTAAATGTGTAATAAAAAAAAAAAACTGGTTCAGCTCGATTAACACATGCGAGCTGTGTAATGCGTAAAATGCATGCGTAGTCAGATGTCTATCAATAAAATATCTCACAAAACTGGCTCCACGCCTGACAGGCCAACCTCCTAACTTATTTACCATCATGCACCATTGGTGCGTAGACCATAAAACTGGATGGTAAAAACAGATAAAATTTGCTTCTCTA